CTCTATAAATGTGAGGGGACATATCTATGTTTCTTTTAGCCACAAGTATATGGGAATTTGTTATCCAGAGTCAAGAAGTTAATAAAGGAAATATTCATATGAAAAAAAAATTTTCCTCTGAAACCATGCAAAGGCTGGGTGCCTGTCACAATCAATAGGTACTTAAAACATGACTCATATTCTGAGGGCAAGAACAGTGTTTCTTAACAAAGGGGAAATTGAAAAAAAGAGAAAAGTTTCTAAGGCTACAACTGTCCTACCCCAGAAGAATCTACAATATCCAGTAGTCCAACCAAAAAGCTGTTGGTTCAATGGCGCTGTCCCTTTAACTACAGTTAGAACTGGTGGCAGCACAGTAAGTAGTAGACCAGGATCCAAATCAGGGTACCACTGAAGTAGAATCTCAGCTGCAACCCCAAGGTTGGAGTTCACCCAATGGAAACATAAAGTTAAAAGCACTGGACTTAGACTAACATTTCTGCCAGAAGGCTGTGGAACTTTGGCAGATTGATGTGATATATGTGAGACCTGGGGTTGGATGGGCTCATTTGCACAGTCCAGGAGATGAGGATCAAGGGGTGGATGATGGGGCTTAGTGGCCTAAAACAGCCTTTGCACTGCCTGGCACACCCAGAGCCATAGTAAGGTAACTGTGCTCAACCAGGCAGATAGCCATGCAAGGAACAGCTTGGAGTGGCAACAGCCCTTGTAGACAGGTTACACTGAGGGCAGGAGCAGGTATGAGAGCAGCCCAAGCTTGGCTGAGGAAGCCCTTGCCAGTTCTCTGTTATATGCAGGAGATATATAAATAAAGTCAACTTAGAAAAGGCTAAAAGCTGGTGTCAAAGTCAGAGAAACCTGGGAAGTTGTTAAGCAGTTGAAAAGATGCTAAAGATGGCAAGCGAGCCTCTTAAAATCACCTGTTAGTGAGACACCATTATTATTTGGGAAAGCAGTGCATGCATGGACACCCAAGGCTTCTAGGGAGTAAAGAAAATGTAAACCTCTCCTTAGAGGCCAACAGAAAAGCACACTCAGCCAGGTCTTTCCACCAACAAGCAATGGGGGACTGTCAGTGAAGATGAACAGCTGCTGTAGCTGCACGACAGAGAACACAGGTGCACCATACCCCAGAGGGAGCAAACACCTCCAGAAGCTCCAAGAAGCCATGGGGAGTGGAGTAAAGTAAAGCCTCACAAGAGATGAGTGTGAAAGTATGCTGAGCTAGGCCCAGCCCATGACTGGGGTTTTGGACCAACACACAACTACAGCATCACCTCATATCACAAGCACTAGCTGAGTGCACCACATGCCATTATTGCTTGGGAAATCTGCACATGCAAGGACACCCTAAAGGACCACATCATCAACAAGAATGTGCATCTCCCAACCACAACCACAAGCTAGGCATAACACCACCCCCACCCTTAAAATAGCGGAAACACAGAGGGAAGGAACCACCAAATATGGCACTCAAGAAAAACACCATACTCACAACACCATCACTCATGTGGAGGATTGTTGCATTAGTCCTTGACCAAGGCTGAATACCAGCCCTTGGTCACACCAGAAGGAGCACCCAGAAGAAATGCTGGCCAATACTACGACTGCAGTGTCTCAGTGCATAGAAGGCATCAGAAACAAATGACAGGGAGAAGGAAAAACATAAATACTCAAGGGGTTACAGGGAAAAAATTCACTACAAAAAGTTCAGTGACCAGATAGAGAATTTAGAATCATCATGATAAACAAACAAACAAAAAAAAAGATGAAAAGGAAAAAAGTGATATGAGACAAATAATCAATGAAATGAAGAATGAAAATGAAAAGAAAAAATAATATAGGCTAATAATCAATTATGTGAAGAATGAAAATGAGACCTTAGAAAGGAAATAAAGGGAACACAGGAGATTAAAAGACTACTGGAGGAGATAAAGAATGCTGGGAAAAACAATGAAAACAGAATAGATGAAATGGAAAATCAGCACACTCGAAGATACAGAAACAAAGAGAATTAAAAAAGAAAAAGAAAGAGAAGTAAAAAGGAAAAGGAATGAAGAAACACTTTGAGTACTATCTGGCTCCATGAGGAAAAGAAATATCAGAATTATAGGTCTCCCAGAAGGTGAGGAGAAAGGCTAAAGAATCAAGAAAATATTCACAGAGATAATTAAAGGGAAGTTCCCTAATATGAAGATGAAGATAGACATACAGGAAGCAAGAACACCAAACAACCATGATGATAGGACAAATACACCAAGAAACATTATAGTACAACTACCAAGAACCCGAGACAAGGAAAAAATAATGAAAATGTTAAGAAAGAGAAACAAACAAACAAACAAAACCTATAAAAGAAAAAAAATCAAGCTGACATCAGATTTCTCCAAAGTAACCCTCAGGGCAAGAAGATAGTGGAGGGGTATATTCCAAAAGCTCCAAGACTTCAAATGTCAAACAAGAATACTTTATCCTGCAAAGCTCTCCTTCATCTATGAAGAAAGAATAAGGATATTCTCAGACAAACAGAAACTCCATAACTTTATCACAACAAAATCCCCACTCCAAAAATATACAAGAAGTCCTTAAGCCAAAATCAACAGAGGGATGAATAAGAACAGATCAAAACAAGGAAAAAAAAACACAAAAAGAAAAACAAAATGGCAAATATAGGTGCCAATGTATGAGTATTAACTCTAAAGGTAAATGGTTTAAACTCAGCAATAAAGAGAAACAGAGTGGCAGCCTGGATTAAAAACAGAACCCAAGATGTGGTAAGCAGGTAGACCTCTGAGCAAGTCTCCCTGTTTGAGGCACTGGATTAGAAAGATGTGCTACATATATACAATGGAATATTACTCAGCAACCAAAAAAGAGAAACACATGTCTTTTGCAGCAACTTGGATGGAGCTGGAAAAGATCA